TTTTTTTTTTTGGTACTGGGGATCGAACTCGGGACCTTGCGCTTGCGAGGCAGGCGCCAGAAGCACTGACCTAAATCCCCGGCAATTTTTATTTCTTTTTATGTTCTAGATATCAGTCCTCTGTCCGAGTAATAGCTAGCAAATTTTTTTTTCCCATTCTGTAGGTTGTCTCTTCATTTTGTTGGTTGTTTCCTTTGCAATGCAGAAGCTTTTTAATTTGATATAATCCCATTTGTTGATTCTTGATGTTACTTCTTATGCAACTGAGATTCTGTTCAGAAAGTCTTTATCTATGCCTCTGTCTTTAGGAGTTCTGATAGAAGAACAATCTTCTATCAGATTGTTTCTGTTTTAATATTTTGATCTTTGATCCATTTTGATTTTATTTTAGTACATAGTGAGAGATACGGGTTTAGATTCAGTCTTCATGAACATAGCCAGTTTTCCTAGCACCATTTGTTAAAGAGGCTCTTTTCCTCAAGCATTAAGCTTTTGGCCCTTTTGTCAAAGATCAGATGGGCTGGGGATTTAGCTCAGTGGTTTCGCCACCTGCTGTGCAAGTGCAAGGCCCCAAGTTCGATCCTCGGTACCAAAAAAAAAAAAAAAAAGTTCAGATGACTGAATGTGCCCAGGGTTGTTTCTGAATCCTGTATTCTGTACTATTGGTCCACATATCTGTTTTTGTGCCACTAGCATGCTGTTTTTATCACTGTAGTTTTGTAATATAACTTGAAATTCAGGATTATGAATTTTTGCTTTGCTCTTGTTGCCCAGGATTCCTTTTGCTATTCCGGGTCTCTTCTGGTTCCATATAAATTTCAGGATATTTTTTCTAGGTCAGTGAAGTACTTCGATTGGGATTGCATTAAATCTATATATCATTTTGGTAATATGGCCATTTTGACACTATTGGTTCATGTTTCCATTTTCTGATGTCTTTGATCTCTTTTTTCAAAATATTTTTTTCATTAGGAGTCTTTCACATATTGCTTAGGTTCATTCCTAGGTTTTTAATTTTTTGAAGCCATTATTAATGTGTACTTACATATTATATGTTCTATAGCCTGGGTCTTTAACCTTGAGACAGTGGGAAAGGGTGGCTGGGAACAGGGCTGCACAGCATGTGGTGAATGGCAGGTGAGCTAGGACGCTTCATCTGTGTTTACAGCCTTATGACTGGCTTGAGTCATTCTGAAACCATACATTACCATCCCCACCCTTGAACACCCCCATCTCCTGTCAGTGGAAAAATTACCTTTCAGGAAACCAGTCCCTGGTGCCAAAAAGGTTGGGGATCGCTGGTCTATATCATAAGAATAGTTTCCTTCCTTGGGAAGTCCTCTGAGAAGAGAATTTTAATTATTTAACTACTTTACTTTAGCATCAAAAGCAATACTTGAGACACAGAAGACTTTTTATGGATATTGAAAGAGAACAAATAAAAGAACAAAAACAGCAAAAGGAACAAAAGAAGAAAACTGAAAAGTAAGTTTTTTGATCCCCATTCTGAGCCTTAAATTAGCAGTTATGATGTTTTGGAAATAAAATCTAAGAAATAATGCAATGCATGCTGGGAGTGTAGCTCAGTGTACATCCTGTGCTTACCATACACAAGGCTCAGAGTTCAATCCCCAGCCCCCTTCCTCCCCTAAGAGGGTGGGGGAAGAAGGGAATAATCCAGTAATGGTTTTGCCTTCCGATCCACATTGGTAACAACTATTTTTGAACTGAGTAGAATATTGAAGATGTTGAATAGCTACTTCTTTTCAATTGCTTCATTCTTTTAATACTTTATTTCTTAAAGCAGTTTTAGGTTCACACCAAAAGTGAACAGAAATAGAGTTCCCTTGTACTTCCTTTCCCCACATATGCACACCTTCTGCTACTGGTAGAGTTTGTTGAACCTATATTGCCACATTATTACCCAAAATCCATAGTTTGCATTAGGATTCACTCTTGGTGTTGTATATTATATGAGTTGATAAATACTGTATATAAGGATATGTGTGTAGACATATATCATACAGAGTAGTTTTACTGGCCTAAAAATCATATGTGCTCTCCCTGTTCATCCCTCCTTAACCCTGGGCACTATCTCTATGGTTTTCATTTTCCAGAATGTTGTATAGTTGGAATCATATAGTTTGTGTGTGTGTGTGTGTGTGTGTGTGTGTGTGTGTGTGTGTATATAAACCTTTTCAACATGGTTTTCTATACTCACTTTTCATCCCTATACAGAATCAGGGTGAAAGAAATAATGATATTACATCTGTAAAGATTTATAATTTACAAGGGCCTCTGTATATTATTTTATTTGTTGTTTTTCAGTGGTAAAGCCCATTTGTTAGGAACATTCTACATGCCAGCCACCATATTATATGCTAAGAATATAAAACTTGAATATGTAGTAGAATAGTTGTTCATAGAATGGGTTAGAACCAAATGAACTTAGGTTTGGTTGTATCACTTACCAACTATTTAATTTTAAGCCTCTGTCCTTAATTATAAAATGGGGTTTATGATAGCTATCTTTCAATGTGTTAATAGAATTAAGTACTTACCATTGTATTTGGAATTTAATAAATATGGTAAAAAATACATGTTAACTACCATGATGATGGTGTGGTGATGGTGGTGATTAATAGGATGAGCACCAAAAGAGAACAGGCAAATGGAGAAAAGGAGACAAAAAATAATTATTATAATACTAACAGTGAGGACAGAAATCATCAAAGCAGATCAAGAAAGGCTTTTGTCAGATGGCCAAGGAACTTAATATGAAAGCATAAAATATGTTTGAGAAATAATGTAAAAAGTTGGGGCACCTAAACTTTGGTGAAAGTGAAGTGGCAGAGGAGCTAAAGCAAAGCTATTGAAATATTTTAAGGCAGAAATCTTATGATCTGATATGTGTCTTAACAAAGATACATACTTGCATCTTGTAGCAGAGTATTTAACAGTATGAAAATAGAGGGACCGGGGATTTAGCTCAGTGGTTTCGCCGCCTGCTGCGCAAGCGCAAGGATCCAAGTTCGATCACCGGTACCAAAAAAAAAAAAACCAATGTGAAAATAGAAAAGTAAGGCATGGTACCCAATTATTACAGTAATTGCAGTGAGATAATGAAGGTTGTGGGAACAGAGAGTAATTTATTCAATAATAATTTTTAAATTTATACATATTAATGACTAGGTGTGTTTTTTTGTTTGTTTGAGGTTGTTGGTTTGTTTGTTTGTTTTTGAGACAGGGTCTTGCCATTCCACTATGTAGCCTAGGCTGGCCTTGACTCAGAGCAGTCCTCTTGCCTGCACCTCCCCAATACTGGGATTATAGGTGTTCTCCACTTCACCTGGCTGGCTAGTTGGATTTAATGTTAAGAGAGGAGTCAAAAGCGGTTTCTAACTTTCTCTGCAAATAAATGAATGAATGACAATATTATCTTAGGGAATACCCAAAGAACAGATTTAGAAGTAAACCAGTGAGTTTACTTTGGGGTGAGTTTGAGGAGCCTGTAGAACATCTTATGGCTGACTTACATATATTTGAAAATAACTAGAGTTCTGGGAAAATAGGAACTAAAGAGTCCTTTGATAGTTTTATCTATATATTTCAACATGAATTTGGGCCAGGTACAGGCCTATGGTTAGGGGACAAAGAAACATGCCGAATGTTTGATATTCTTAAGGAATGGAAGTAACATAATTAAAGACTTGAAGTGTCTTAGACACTTGAGTTTTCTCAAGAAATTTGCCAAAATTGAAGAGAGTTGAAAGAGTAAATGGAAACCCTTATCTGGAAAATAAAGTCAATATCTGTTAGTCTGTGGTGTTGAAGAAATGCAGAGTTCAGAACCCATTGGGTTAGCAGAGGGGAGAAAGACCAACTACATATTCCATTCTTTCACTTGAAAGCCCTGGAGAGTATATACTAAGAAGTTGGCCCAGCTAGTTATAGAATAAGCCTTACTTTTCTGCAAAGCATCCTTGATTCTACTGTCTTCCAGACAGGGTAAAGATGATGAACCCTGCATTGTCTTCCTAGCAGAGAAAAGACTAAACTCTCTTTGGCCATAGATAACATCATTTAGGGCTTCTAAACTTTTTTAAAAACAATAGTGAGCATGCAATCAAAATTTTCCAAGGACCAGTGTCCAAAAGCCAACAGAAAGAATAGACAACACAAGCAATCACAGGTGACACAGATACTGGTAACGAGACAAGGAATTTAAAATAATTTATTGATATGCTCAAGTAACATAGAGGAAGAGCTTGAGAAAAGATGAAAATTAGAGAATCTGTAGAGAATTGGAATCTATAAAGTAGAAAATCTGGAATTGAAAAAAATCTTTAAAAAATAAAATGAGTACAGTATACATAATGAGATACCACTTCAGACTTAATAGAATAATGATGGGGAAAGAGAGCAAACATGACAAAACCAGATATTTAAAAGGATAGAATAACTGTAGTTCTTGTATTGTTTGTGTAAGTAGAAAAGAGCACAACCTCTTTGGGAATCTGTTTAATATTCAATAAAACATAGGCCTACCTCATGACCCAAAAACTATACCCCTAGACTATACTCTAAAAAAGGCAAAAAGTTGGGGGGGGATTTAAGCTCAGTGGTTCCACCTCCTGCCTCGTAAGCACAAGGTCCTGAGTCTCCTGGTACCAAATAAATAAATAAAAAGTAAAAAAGGCAAAAACATATTTGTAAAAACACTGAATAGTGAACAGAATATATTATTTTTAAATGCTTATAGAATATTTTCCAAAAATGACTATATTCTGGGTCATTTTCAGAGTATTTTATCTGATAGTAGTGATAAACTATAAATCATGAAGCAGTATATTTCTAAAGACTTCTTGGTGAAAGATAAAATTATAGTGCAAATTAGGAAATACTTTGAAGACAGTAATAAGATAAATATATCAAAACTTGTCAGAAGCAGCTAAAATAGTGCTTAGAGAAAATAATAAGCCCTTAATTACAATTATTACACAAGCAAAAAAGCTAAAAATCAGTGTTTTAACCTTCCATCTTAAGCTTAGAAAAACTGTAAATCAGATAAGGAAAAAAAAGAAAAAAACGAAACCATAAGGATAAGAGCAGAAATCAATGAAATAGAAAACAAATTGTAGTAGAGAAAACAATGAAGCCCAGTTATTTCTTTGCAAGTTCATTTTTCCAGGAACATATTACTTTTACTAATCAATAAAAGGAAAAGAGAGAAAGCATGATTTGTCAATATTGGGAATGGACAAGGAACCATTACTACAGGACCTACAGACATTAAATGATAGTATAAGGGAATTATGAACAACTTTACACTAAAAAATTTGACAATTTTGTTGAAATAGAAATCCCTCCTACAAAAGAAAACTAAGCTGGATACAAGAAGAAATAGAAAACAGTAATTCCATTTCACTCAAAGGAATTAAAAGAAAAAATTTCTGTAAAATCCAGGTTCATTCTCCTCTGAGGATTTTTTCAAATATATCACTGGAAAGAAATAACATCAAGTTTTACATAAACTCTTCCACAGAATGGAAAACGAGGAATATTTCCCAAATAGTTACAGAGGCCAGCATAACCTTTGGATAATAAATCATTTTTTTCTTATCCTGTCTGTATGTCTTAGTTTGCAAACTGTTCCATTACTTTGTTGAACTTTAGAAGCTGAAGCAATATCTCCATTGTGGGAAGCCCCTTTCTGCTGAATATCCTGTATTTCAAAGTACAGAGTATGAGGATACTGCTAAGAATGTATATATTTTTACGTATATTTTATTCTCACATGATTTCTCCTGCCTTTAGATGTGAAATAATACTGTTGTCTAAAAGCCACCTGACAAAAACTGCTGCAATTAAAAGTGTGTGTGTGTTGTGTGTGTGTGTGTATTGGACAATGTGGGAGGCTTGAAAAAAAACTTACGTAGTTATATACTGTAGCTTTTAGGTAGAATTAAATTAAATATTTCAAAAGTCTTTTATATTCTTAGAAATATGCTATAATTTTTTCCATATAACACTTTCAGAATCTAAGGATATTGGTTCTTAGGAGTTCATCCTTATTTCTAGGCTAGATTAAATTTGTCTTGCTGTAATTTAAACTTTTAGTCATAATGTAATCTGATCTGTGCACCTCCCCCCCAACCTTTCAGTTCTGTAGTGCCTATATACAAGGATTTTATGGGCTTAGGTTACAAACTAAAATAGAAATTTAGTTCAGTTCATTTAACTGAAGACAGTATACCCCTGCTGTGGGTATTTTATGTCTAGCGTAAATCTTCTTATGACATATTTACCACATGGCGTAGACAGTGGGGAATTCTTGTTCAGGAATGCTACTGACCTTTCTTGAAAGTTTTCCTGCTTAAGGCTTTTATTTTATTGCCATTTCCTACTAGATAATCTTTTTCTTCTTGGATTTATACTTGTCCTCAGGAAAAAATATGAATATCTCTATTTTACAGATAGTATTA